AATGAACCATTATCCCCTGTCCTGACCAATCCCTGCATAAATGCCCTCGGAAGCACTTTATTTTATCTGTTAGTGCAATCCAACCTTATTTCGTCCCTCAGACCCACCTGTCCAGATATATTATATCGCCTTCTCACCCAGTGTTTTAAATTTTTAATTCTTCAACTGGCCCTGCCCACTATGATTAATTCTCTGTGTTCTAATATTGTGGTTTTATATGGTCTGATGTGTTTATAATTTTTTGTGTATCGTATGTTATTTTATTTTTATTTTTATATTTTATTGTTGCATTCTTATGTTGTATAATGGCATTGTTGTACTAATGGGCTTGGCCTCATGTAAGCCGCCCCGAGTTCCCTTGGGGAGATGGTGGCGGGGTATAAATAAAGTTTTATTATTTATGATATTATTACTTCCCCTCTTGACCTCTGGATCCATGGCCTTCATCATGTCTCATCTCAGCCTTCTCTTCTGCAGGGTAAACATGCCCAGCTCTTGGAGCCGCTCCTCATAGGGCTTGTTCTTCAGACCCTTGATCTTTGGAGTCACCCTCCTCTGGACATATTCAAGCTTAGAGTCAACATCTCTCTTCAACTGTGGTGCCCAGAACTGGACACAGTATGATTCCAGGTGTGGTCTGACCAGGTCAGAAGGGAAGGGTAGCATGACTTCCCAAGATCTAGGCACTAGACTCCTGTTTATGCAGGCCAAAATCCCATTGGCTTTTTTTGCCACCGCATGACATTGTGGGCTTATGTTCCCCTTCCTCCCCACAAGGACACTTTTCTTTTATCTTTCCCATAAGTCATGCTGTTGAGCCAGGCATCGTTGCCCATTCTGTCTCTTTGCATTTCCTTTTTTTCTGCCTAAGTTGAGTATCTTGCATTTGGAACATTGTGTTCGTTGTTGGCCAATCATCTCATCTGTGAATATTGTTTTGAATTCTACTCCTGTCTTCTGGAGTATTGGCTATTCCTCCCAATTTGGTGTCATCTGCAAACTTGATGATCATGCCTTCTAACCCTTCATCTAAGTCATTGTTTCTCAACCTAGGGGTCGGGACCCCTGGAGGGGTCGCGAGGGGGGTTCAGAGGGGTCACCAAAGTCCACCAGAAAACATTTCTGATGGTCTTAGGAACCTTTTGGCAGAGAGGGCTGAAGATCTCTCCGCCTGTCCTCTTCCTTTTTGGTGTTGGTGAACTACAACTCCCAGAATTCAAAAACATTCCCCCAACACCACCAGTATTCCATGTTGGCTATGTAGGTAGTGTGCCAAGTTTGATGCAGATTCATCATGGACTGGGTTCAGAGTGTTCTTTTATTGTAGGTTAACTATAAATCCCAGCAACTACAACTCCCAAATGTCAAGGTCTATTTTCCTCAGTGTTCACATTTTGGCATATTAAGTATCCGTGACAAGTTTGGTCCAGATCCATCATTTGACTCCACGACGCTCTCTGGATGTAGCTGAACTACAACTCCCAAACTTGTTGTCAATGTCCCTTCCAGTATTTTCTGTTGGTCGTGGAAATTCTGTCTACCAAGTTGGGTTCAATTCCATCGTTGGTGGAGTTCAGAATGCTCTTTGATTGTAGGCGAACTATAAATCCCAGTAACTACAAATCCCAAATGACAAAATCAACCACTCCCCAACCCCACCAGTATTCAAATTTGGGTGTATTGGGTAGTTGTGCCAAATTTGGTGTAATGAATGAAAATACATCCTGCATATCAGAGATTTACATGATGGTTCATAACAGGAGCAACATTACAGTTACGAAGTAGCAACGAAAATTATTTTATGATTGAAGGAGGGGTCACCACAACATGAGGAACTGTATGAAGGGGTCGCTGTATTAGGAAGGTTGAGAAACACTGATCTAAGTCATTAATAAAGATGTTGAACAGGATATGTACTGTTGCATCCCCAAACTATTATAAAGTAGACAGTGCCCCTGATATATATGTGTGTGTGTGTGTCGTGTCAGGAGCAACTTGAGAAACTGCAAGTCGCTTCTGGTGTGAGAGACTTGGCCGTCTGCAAGGACGTTGCCCAGGGGGTGCCCAGACATTTTGATATGTTACCATCCTTGTGGGAGGCTTCTCTCATGTCCCTGCATGGGGAGCTGGAGCTGACAGTAGGAGCTCGTCCGCGCTCTCCCTGGATTCGAACTTGCACCCTGTCGCTATTCAGTCCTGCCAGCACAAGGGTTTAACCCACTGCGCCACCGGGGGCCCCTATGCCCCTGATCACACTGGAGACCTTCACGTGCTTCACTTCCCCAGCACTAATATCCATGCTGAAGGATGCTTGTTGAGATATTCCTGAAAACCAGGGAAAGGGAATAACCTCTGGCTTCTTTTTGTCAAGACAGTGGTCATCATCTCCCAGTCTGTATCCACCCACGATCCAACCAGTCTAGACCCTGTCTTATCATTTCTAATCAGTAGCTTGAAAAAACATGGAAACTTTCAGATGTGTTAGGCTACAACTCCCAGCCTTTGGAAAAAGGTAATATGTGTAAAGGAAACAAGGGATGTGTGTGAGATGGAAGTTATAGTCCAAGTGAGTGGGAAAGTGTGGTGTTGGGAAAGGCTGGTTAAGGTTAATAATCAAAGCTGAACAGGCCACAGCTTTATGAATGAAACATGCTTATTGCTTATTCAAGGAAGGGGCCTGAGGCTGTTGGAAATTGTGGGAGCTGGAGTCCAAAACACCTGTAGGGCCAAAGTTTGCCCATGCCTGGCCTAGAGGGCTTCTTATCTAGCCTGAGCAATTGTGGTTGCAGTCAGACAGTCAGACAGTAATTCCTTGTTATACTGATACTAGCCATCCCCTGCCAGGCGTTGCGGTGGCCCAGATCTGGAAAATAAAATAATGAGAAAAGTGTTGGTTTCTAATATATGTAATTTATTTATGTTTGTGGTAAACAGTATTTCTTTTTCATTATTGATGTAGAGATGGTCTGGTTTACCTACTCTGGAACATGTAACATATAATTGTCTTTCTTTTGGGGTCCCTTTCAAATCTATGATACTATGTCATGGAGCCCCCGGGGCGCAGTGGGTTAAAGCACTGAGCTGCTGAGCTTGTTGATCGAAAGGTCGCAGGTTCGATTCCGGGGAGCGGCGTGAGCTTCCGCTGTCAGCCCTAGCTTCTGCCAACCTAGCAGTTCAAAAACATGCAAATATGAGTAGATCAAAAGGTACCGCGGCGGGGGGAAGGTAACGGCGCTCCATGCAGTCATGCCGGCCACATGACCTTGGAGGTGTCTACGGACAACACTGGCTCTTCGGCTTAGAAATGGAGATGAGCACCACACCCCAGAGTCAGACATTACTGGACTTAATGTCAGGGGACTACCTTTACCTTTTTATATCTGTCATATACATATATGTGTGTGTGCAAATCATATATTTTTATCTATATCTATGGCTGGATGGCTCTTTGTCAGGAGGGCTTTGATTATGTTTTCTTGCCCTGGTGAAGGGAGTTGGACTAGATGGCCTTAAGGCAGCATTTCTCAACCGGGGGGGGGGGCACGAGGGGGTGTCAGAAGGGTTACCAAAGACTACCAGAAGACACAGCATTTTCTGTTTGTCATGGGGGTTCTGTCTGGGAAGTTTGGCCCAATTCTATCATTGGTGGGATTCAGAATGCTCTTTGATTGTAGGTGAACTGTAAATCCCAGGAACTACAACTCCCAAATGTCAAGGTCAGTTTCCCCCAAACTCCATCTGTGTTCATATGTGGGCATATGGAGTACTCGTGCCAAGTTTGGTCTAGATCCTTCATTGTTTGAGTCCACAGTGTTCTCTGGATGTAGGTGAACTACAACTCCCAAACTCAAGGTCAATGCCCACCAAACCCTTTTAGTGTTTTCTGTTGGTTATGGGAGTCCTGTGTGCCAAGTTTGGTTCAATTCTATCATTGGTAGAGTTCAGAATATTATTTGATTGTAGGTGAATTATAAATCCCAACAACTGTGGCCCAGTCTGTTGATCTGGAAAATAAAGTAATGAGAAAGTGTTGGTTTCTAATATATGTAATGTCTTTATGCTTGTGGGTAAACAGTATTTCTTTGTGTTTCTTTGTCAGTGTTGATGCGGAGAGTGCCTGTTTGCCCACCTTGGAACATGCAACATATCATTGTCCTTCTTTAAGGGTCCCTTTCAAATCTATGATACTATATCTGTGTGTGTGTGAATCATATCTATCTATCTATCTATCATCTATCTATCTATATCTATCTATCTATCTATCTATCTATCTATCTATCTATCTATCTATCTATCTATCTATGGCTGGATGGCTCTTTGTCAGGAGGACTTTGATTATGTTTTCTTGCCCTGATGAAGGGAGTTGGATTGGATGGCCTTGAGTATTTTCTGTTGGTCACGAGGGTTCTGTGTGGGAAGTTTGCCCCAATTCTGTCGTTCGTGGGGTTCAGAATGCTCTTTGATTGTATGTGAACTGTGAATCCCAGTGACTACAACTCCCAAATGTCAAGGTCTATTTCCCCCAAACACCATCTGTGCTCATATTTGGGTGTATTGAGTGCATGTGCCAAGTTTGGTCCAGATCTATCATTGTTTGAGTACACAGTGCTCTCTGGATGTAGGTGAACTACGAATCCCAAACTCAAGGTCAATGCCCACCAAACCCTTCCAGTATTTTCTGTTCATGGGAGTCCTGTGTGCTAAGTTTGCTTCAAGTCCATCATTTGGGGGAGTTCAGAATATTCTTTGATTGTAGGTGAACTAAAAATCCCAGCAACTACAACTCCCAAATGACAAAATCATAATTTTTTGAGTGATGGTCACTCCTTTTGTTGTGAGACGTTTTGTTGCCAAATTTGGTGTGATTTCGTTCATTGGTTCTTTTGTTTTTAAGGTACTCATTATGCACAGAGCATTTTTAGATAGATAAATAGATAGACAGATATAGAGAGAGATATTTGCTAGCATTCACAAAGCCTTCTCTTTGTTTCCTTTTCCAGTTTCCATGATGAAGAGGAAGAAGACCCTCCCTCGGCTCTTGCAACAAACTGGGCTGCTCTTGACATTGCTTCTCGGTAGAGGGGCGGGATAGGAAGAAGTGGGAGCTGCACCAGAGACACCCTCATCCACCCAGAAGGCCCAGCAAGAAGACAGAAGTCTCGCCTTGCCTTTCCTGCCCTGTCCCCATCCTCTCTCTGTATTCCTGTGCCCCCCTGTGTTGCTGCCTATCCTGCCCCCTCTCTGTCCCCAAAATGCGTTTGTCTCCTCTGTTGAGAAGCAAGTGGAGGGGGGGGGGTGAGAAGAGCAGTTCTGGGGGCTTTTCTTTCTGCACAAAACCAGCAATTGTAAATACTTTTCAAAAATTTTAAAAAAGAAAATTAAAAAAAAAAACAATACAAAAGAGCAAACACAATGAAACACATACACATAGTGTGGGTTGTTGTGACTTTCCTGGGCTGTCTGGCCATGTTCCAGAAGCATTCTCTCCCGACGTTTCGCCTGCATCTATGGCAGGCATCCTCAGAGGTTGTGAGGTCTGTTGGAAAATAGGAAAATAGTATTTATATACCTGTGGAATGTCCAGGGTGGGAGAAAGAACTCTTGTCTGTTGGACAAGTGTGAATGTTGCAGTTGACCACCTTAATTAGCATTTAATGGTTTATTATTATTATTATTATTATTATTATTATTATTATTATTATCTTTATTTGTACCTCACTAGCATCTCCCAAAGAACTCGATGCAGCTTACACAGGCCAAGGCCTCAATCAAACAACAGCATAACAAAACACGTAACTTAAAGCAAATCAAACATTAAAACAATAGCAGTAAACAATAAAAACAATACACCATAACACAATAAAGCAAGGACCAGGCCAAATGTAATGGGTACAGATTAAAAAGTGCTGGGTGTGACAGGTGGATGTAGCATTTTAGGGTAAGTGCAATGTGCAGACCATCTTAAAACTCTGATAAAGTGCTTCTGGGACATATTGCTGGAGTTTCCTATTCTGGAAAGGCACATCGGAACAGCCAGGTCTTCAAACTCTTCCTAAAGACTGCCAACGTAGGGGCTTGTCTGATGTCTTTGGGGAGGGTGTTCCAAAGTTGGGGGGCTACCACAGAAAAGGCCCTGTCTCTCGTCCCCACCAAACACGCTTGCGACGCAGGAGTTTAGCAGTTTCAAGGTCTGGATTCTTACTACCTGGGGGGATCCTTTGTTGGGAGGTGATTGGTTGGTCCTAATTGCTTCTAGTCTGGAATTCCCCTGTTTTTTTTAGTATTGCTCTTTATTTACTGTCCTGCTATGGCTGACTTCTCTGGTTGAAGGACAAGAGGGATCTTCTCACCTCTGCAGGAGACTACCGTATACCATCCCCACTACCTCTCTTTAGACTGCGTCGGATGATCTTGTGGGTTGAGTTAGGTTTTAATAACTACTTGTATTGGTTTTTAGATTAGATTTTAAAATTTGTTGAAGTTTGAAGTGTATAACCCCTTAGGTTTGATGTGAATCTACGGGACTGGGTCCCCATGTTGTGATCTGGTCATGGACCGTAATAAACTTTACTTACTTACGTATACCATGCAACTGTGGACAAGTTTACATAGGGACCACCAAACGCAGCATTGCCCAAACACGAATCAAGAAACGTGAAAAGCACTGCAGACTAAACCAGAGAAGTCAGCCATAGCAGAGCACCTGATAAACCAACCTGGACACAACGTATTATGGAGCCCCCGGTGGCGCAGTGGGTTAAAGCCCTGTGCCGGCAGGACTGAAGACCAACAGGTCGCAGGTTCGAATCCGGGGAGAGGCGGATGAGCTCCCTCTATCAGCTCCAGCTCCTCATGCGGGGACATGAGAGAAGCCTCCCACAAGGATGATAAAACATCAAAAATCAAAGACGTTGCCCCTGGGCAACGTCTTTGCAGACGGCCAATTCTCTCACAACGGGGTGCTCCTGACATGACCAAAAAAAACAAAACAAAAAAAAACAACGTATTATTTGAGAACACAGAAATGCTGGACCACTTTAACAACTACACAGAGAAGCCACTGAAATCCACAAGAAGCAAGTGGACAATTTCAACAGAAAGGAGAAAACAATGAAAATGAACAAAATCTGGTCATCGGTTTTTAAAAACTCTAAAATCAGGACAATAAATAAAGAACAACACTCAAAAACAGGGGAATTCCAGACTAGAAGCAATCAGGGCCAGCTAATCACCCCCAACAAAGGATTCCCCCAAGCAGGAAGCAGCCAGACCTTGAAACTGCAAGGCCATTAAATGCTAATAAAGGTGGCCAATTGAAACATCCACACCTGCCTCCAACAAACAAGAGTTCTTTCTCCCACCCTGGACATCATTCCACAGATATATAAACCTCACTTGCCTATTTTCCAACAACCTCTAAGTATTTTTAGGTGAAACGTCAGGAGAGAATGCTTCTGGAACATGGCAGACAGCCCGGAAAACTCCCCCACACCCAGTGATTCCGGCCATGAAAGCCTTCGACAATACATTACACACACACAATGTTTTTCAAAAATCAGAAATCAATGTTTTTGAAGACAAAAAAGGGAAAAAAATAAACGAATCTAGACCAAGTCAAGGCAGGAGAGAAGCTAATTGTGTCAGGTATGCACTGAGAAATCTATTTGCAGATTGACAAAAAGTAACAAGAACCTATTTATTGTATATAATGTTTTATTATAAATCGTGTATTGTATATTGCATCTGTACATCTGCTGTGGTTTTGTGATGTGCAAATTTAAGCATGGGTTTCATTGAGGTTTTCAGTTGCTTTTTATTGTTTAGGGGGATTTTTTTAAAGAAAAAGAAAGAAAGAAATTGTTTGTTTTTTGGCAGTTACACACCCAAAGATCCAAATTTGTATTTTGAAAGTAAAAAAAAAAAAGAAATTCTAGGAAAAAGAAAAGATTGAAGACAAGCAAGTCACCCTCTTTGGTTGGGAAGAGGGGAGAAGGAGGGGAGCAACGGCATTTTCTGAGTTCTCATTGGCCACTTTGTAAACTGAACTGAGTATTTCCTTCCTTCTTGTGTGCCCCCTTTTTGCGCCAGTGCTGAGCTCAGGGTGTGCGTGCGCGTGGACGTGTGCTTGCGTGTGCGCATGTGACTCCTTCTTCTTCACTTTTGTCCTGCCTTCTTTACCCCCTTCTCCTTTACCTTCTCCTGGATTTGGAATCATATGTACAGCTTTGTAGATTGTGCAAAAGGAAAAAAAGAACGAACGAACGAAAGAAAGAAAGAAAGGACACAACCAAGGATGAATCCCACTCCAACTTGCGTTGTCCATTACTGATTTGAACTGTACAACTAAACATGCCAGACTTAGTCGTCGCTTGGAGACGGAACACACCTCCTGATTCTCACCATATAAGCTCCTGCTTGCTTGCTTCCTTCCCCTGGGCCAAGTTGCCTTCATCCACCGCCCCCCGGGTCCCCTTTTTTGCTTTCCCCTTTCCCCTTTGCACCCCAACTGGTCTTTTTGTGTATTTAGGAAGGAATTTTTAATAGACACTTTTTTATATTAAAAGAAACCTATATATTGAGTGACCAGGCTGCTTTGTGTGCTTCTCTTGGGGGGGGGGGGGTGCATGGATGCCTAGGGCGCGTTTCTCAACCTGGGGGTCGGGACCCCGGGGGGGGGGTTGCCAGGGTGTGTCAGAGGGGTCACCAAAGACCATCAGAAAACACAGTATTTTCTGTTGGTCATGGGAGTCCTGTATGGGAAGTTTGGCCCAATGCCATCATTGAAGGGGTTCAGAATGCTCTTTGATTGTAGGTGAACTATAAATCCCAGCAACTACAACTCCCAAATGCCAAGGTCCGTTTCCCCCAAACTACACCAGTGTTCACATTTGGGCATATGGAGTATTCGTGCTAAGTTTGGTCCAGATCCATCATTGTTAATTAAAGTGTTGTTATTGTTGTTTGGGTCCACAGTGCTCTCTGGATGTAGGCGAACTACAACTTCAAAATTCAAGGTCAATGCCCATCAAATCCTTCCAATATTTTCTTTTGGTCATGCGAGTTCTTTTTGCCAAGTTTGGTTCAATTCCATCATTGGTGGAGTTCAGAATGCTCTTTGATTGTAGGTGAACTATAAATCCCAGAAACTACAACTTCCAAATGCCAAGGTCTGTTTTCCCCAAACTCTACCAGTGTTCACATTTGGACATATGGAGTATTCGTACCAAGTCTGGTCTAGATCCATCATTGTTTGAGTCCACAGTGCTCTCTGGATGTAGGTGAACTACAACTTCAAAACTCAAGGTCAATGCCCATCAAATCCTTCCAGTATTTTCTGTTGGTCATGCGAGTTCTGTGTGCCAAGTTTCGTTCAGTTACATCGGTAGTGGAGTTCCGAATCCTCTTTGATTGTAGGTGAACTATAAATCCCAGCAACTACAACTCCCAAATGCCAAGGTCTGTTTTCCCCAAACTCCACCAGTGTTCACATTTGGACATATGGAGTATTCGTGCCAAGTTTGGTCCAGATCCATCATTGTTTGAGTCCACAGTGCTCTCTGGATGTAGGTGAACTACAACTTCAAAATTCAAGGTCAATGCCCATCAAATCCTTCCAGTATTTTCTGTTGGTCATGCGAGTTCTGTGTGCCAAGTTTGGTTCAATTCCATTGTTAGTGGAGTTCTGAATCCTCTTTGATTGTAGGTGAACTATAAATCCCAGCAACTGCAACTCCCAAATGACGAAAGCAATCTCCTCCCCAAATCCCACCAGTATTCATATTAGGGCATATTGGGTATTTGTGCCAAATTTGGTTCGGTGAATGAAAATATATCCTGCATATCAGATATTTACATTATGATTCAGAACAGGAACGAAAATAATGTTATGGTTGGGGGTCACCACAGCATGAGGAACTGTATTAAGGGGTCGCGGCATTGGGAAGGTTGAGAAACACTGGCCTAGGGAGTTTGAACTCCCAAAAAGAAAAATGGGTTGCCCTGAAACTGTAGAAACCAAAATCCACTGATTGTGGTAATGCGAATGTATCTAAATTAACTCAATGTATACTTACAAATGCACGTATCAACAAAACCCAAAGCTGCCACATTCACATTAAGCAGAAACAATTGGCTCCTCTCTTGAAGTATGAAACAAAATCTTCATGTGAGTAAGAATAGTCCTTGAATGTCAATAAATGTCCTATTCTTGATTGCATACGAGTAGACTCCAGTAATCACAATAGGTGTCCTATTTCCTTCGTTACGCACTAGTCGACTCCAACTGTCGGAACCCAGAAGCCTTTCATAGAATCATAGAATCATAGAATCAAAGAGTTGGAAGAGACCTCATGGGTCATCCAGTCCAACCCCCTGCCAAGAAGCAGGAATATTGCATTCAAATCACCCCTGACAGATGGCCATCCAGCCTCTGTTTAAAAGCTTCCAAAGAAGGAGCCTCCACCACACTCCGGGGCAGAGAGTTCCACTGCTGAACAGCTCTCACAGTCAAGAAGTTCTTCCTCATGTTCAGATGGAATTTCCTCTCTTGTGGTTTGAAGCCATTGTTCCGCGTCCCAGTCTCCAGGGAAGCAGAAAACAAGCTTGCTCCCTCCTCCCTGTGGCTTCCTCTTACATATTTATACATGGCTATCATATCCCCTCTCAGCCTTCTCTTCTTCAGGCTAAACATGCCCAGCTCCTTAAGCCGCTCCTCATAGGGCTTGTTCTCCAGGCCCTTTAAAGAGCCAGACTCAGTGATATTTATTTATTTACTACTACACTTCTATACCGCCATTCTCAGCCCGAGGGCGACTCATGGCGGTTTACAAAACGGCACAATTCGATGCCCACAACAGTACAAAAATAGTTTAAACATTAAAAATATTTAACATAGATTAAAAAATCATTACAATTAACATCAAAATAATAATAATAAACCATAAGTCCTCCGCATTTCATTAATCAGTCATTGTCCAGTCACATTGTCCAACCGTTCCGAGATCAGAGTTTAATAGCTACACTGCATTTGGGAAGGCCTGCTCATATAGCCAGGTTTTAACTTTTTTGCAAAATGTTAAGAGGGTGGGGGCTGATCTAATGTCCCTGGGGAGGGCATTCTACAACCGAGGGGCCACCGCTGAGAAGGCCCTATCCCTCGTCCCCGCCAATCGAGCCTGTGAAGATGGCAGGGCCGAGAGCAGGGCCTCCCCAAAAGATCTTAAATTCCTAGAGGGTTCGTAAGGAGAGATACGTTCGGACAGGTAAGCAGCCCTGTCAGGTTTTCCCCTGACATTAAGTCCAGTTGTGTCCGACTCTTGGGGGGTTGGTGCTCATCTCCATTTCTAAGCCGAAGAGCTGGCATTGTCCACAGACACCTCCAAGGTCATGGGGCCGTCATGACTGCATAGAGCACCGTTACCTTCCCGCCAGAGCGGTACCTATTGATTTACTCACATTTACATGTTTTCGAACTGGTAGGTTGGCAGAAAGCTGGGGCTAACAGCGGGAGCTCACCCCGCTCCCCGGATTCGAACCTGAAAACTTTCGCTAAGCAAGTTCAGCAGCTCAGCACTGTAACTCACTGCACCACCAGGAGCTCCAAACTTATAGGGACTTTTGTGGGAGTCCACATTCACTCCTAAGGCGGGTGCCTAAAATAACTAATTTATTTATTTTATTTATTTACTGTATTTATATACCGCCTTTCTCAGCCCGAAGGCGACTCAAGGCAGTTTACAGTCGGGACAATTCAATGCCCCCAACAACATACATTACCATTTAAAATACTTAACATATAATATAAAACCATATTAAACCCGTAAAAACATAAGTACTCAGCATCTCATTACTAAAACATTTTCTGATCGCATCGTCCAGTCATTCCATAGGTCTAAATTTGCCAGTTACACTGCATTTGCAAAAGCTTGCTCGAAAAGCCAGGCTTTGAGTTGTTTTTGAAATGTTTGGAGGGAGGGGGTCGATCTAATGTCCCTAGGAAGGGAGTTCCACATTCAAGGGGCCACTGCTGAGAAGGCCCTGTCTCTCGTCCCCGCCAACCGCATCTGCGAAGATTGCGGGAGCGAGAGCAGGGCCTCCCCAGAAGATTTTTAGAGTCCTAAAAGGTTC